GATAGATTTGTTGGTATGGTTTGTATCTTCTTAAAAAGCTTGGCTCCATGTTTAGCACCCTAAATTTTCACGAATTTGATTTGATCAAAATCATGAAAATAATAATGATTTTAAGTACCAAGGGTGTACAACATCTCTTTAGCACAAACATATTTCTAATAACTTTTTCGAAAATACGCAGCGAATAATGTTAAACAAGTTCATCTGAATAATCCAAACAGATAGTTCATTACTCAAGCATGAGGGAAACAATCCCATAAATCTTAGAAAAACAAAACACAAATCAATATAAATTTTGTCCCATTGTTAAATATCAGAGCGACAATGCAAAACTAAACAAAAATTGAAAAAGTAAAATAAAAAGAATGCTATATGTGCCATTCTCCAACTCACAACTATTTTCCACTACATGTTTCTGCAACATAGGTATAACGAGCCACACAACAACAAAAAAGGGATGAGAATAACTTTAAAGAAGTTATTGGTGTATTAGTTAGTAAGAATAAGATACATAGTAATAACACAATAATATGCAAAGAACAACAACAAATCACAATATAAATGTATTGTTGTAATGTATTCATCCTCCAAAAATGCATGTGGTACCAAAAGTTTGAATGTCCGAGTTATTTTATGCAATTATCCACGTCTCCAACTCCTCTATGAAATTTTCTCTCTCTGAGATCTAATATATCGTAATAATGTTCTCTTTGAACAAAATCCTCTCTAGAGAAGGTTCTCTCTAAACCATAATTAACCAACATAAGATAAATATTGTAATTCTCTATGAATAAAAAAACTCAGCAAAACAATAAAATCTCAATAATCATATCAAAATAGCAGAGTTAAATTATATTATTACTCAGTAACCTAAAACATAAAACAACTCAATTTTTCTCACCATCTCATAAAATTACTCAAAAACATATTGAAGAAGTAATATTTATATTTCATACTCGGAACTCATCAAAAGGGTAACAACATTTATCTATTACTCAACAGAGTCCTCAAAGAACTCTAAGAAGCTTTACACCATTCTCTGCAACTCCAAAACAACTCAAAAGTAATCTAAAGTGCTCAAAGGACAACCCTTGCATATAAAGATAACTCTTATAAGCTCTATTTGTTGGCGGCCTGAATCTAATAAAAATAAAACAACTATAAGGTCACAAACTCTCAACTTAACACTAAGGGTAGAGAAAGGTCACTGAACTCAAAATGACTCTAAATTCACTCAAATGGACCGCAAAACGTCCAACTGCCACCGAAAGCCCGCCACTTGTTGGACCGCCGCCTTCGCCCAACTTGACTCTAGTGGCCCCGCTGACCACCACTGCGGCACCCGATTTTGGCAGCTCCTGCCACTAGCCACCACAGCTCCGCCGTCGTATGGTCTCCGAATTCCGGGCGCCACTGTCGGCGGGGAAAATAAAAAAAGCAAAAGAAATGGCATTATGGCCCACTCTAAAGAAGATTCATTCATTAAATATCAATTAGGTTGTAATCGAAATAAATTATTTAAAGGGACAACTTCATTATCCTACATAAAAAATTGGGTAACTTTACCCATCTTACTTGTCTTAAATATAATGGAGGAAGGATTGTACCACTTGTAATGTCATTAAGAAATTATAATTCTTAATTGTAGCAATATACTTCAGATGATTTGGTCAATGAAGAAGGTGAGCTGGTACATTATGCTTTCTACACATATGTCGAACTAATCGATGCAACTGAGGCATTGAAAGATTCAAAGTGGAAGAAAGCAATAAATAAAGAACTAGAGTCCATCGAAGTCAACAATATTTAGTCACTTTTCGAATTACCTCAAGGTAAGAAGGCAATCAATGTGAAGTGGATATACAAGGTAATGCTGAGTCCCAAAAGAGAAGTAACTCGACACAAGACAAAACTTGTAGCGAAAGGATTTCTTTAGAAATAAGGAATCGAATTCGACGAAGTTTTTGCACATGTTTCTAGGATTAAAACAACCGGGTTGGTTGTTGGTCTAACAAACATGAACAATTGGCACACATGTCATATGGATGTGAAATGTGCATTCCTGAATGGCCTCTTAGATGAAGAAGTTTATGTTGCACAACCACCTGATTTATGAAACAAGGTGAAGAAAGCAAGGTATACAGGCTGCATAAAGCCCTATATGGACTTAAGCAAGCTCCAAGAGCTTGGAATAAGAAGATAGATAGATTTCTAAGGGAGAAGGAACTTATAAAGTGCACAACTGAGCACATATTATATGTAAGAAGAAGCAAAAGTGAATTGTTAATACTACGTCTCTATGTCGACGACTTGTTGATAACATGTAGCTGTAAGAAAGAGATTGAAGACTTCAAAGGTGATCTTAGCAAGAAATTTGAAATGTCTGATCTAAGTGACATTTCATATTTCCTTGGCGTATAATTCTACAAGAGTAGTAGAGGTTTGATCATGCATCAAAGAAGATATGCAGGCGAAATTCTCAAGAGATTTAAGATGGAAGAATGCAACTCGACTTCGACATTTGCTGAACCAAGACTGCAATTGTTGAAAGATTCAGATTCAAATGTTGTCGACCTAACCCAATATAGAATACTTATTGGGTCATTAAGATACCTTTGTCACATAAGGCCTGACTTAGCATATAGTGTAGGTATGGTAAGTAGGTTCATGCATAAACCAAAGGTATCACACCAAACATCGACAAAGAGGATACTAAGGTATCTGAAAGGAACTCTTGACTATGGAGTTTTGTTTCCTACAACTGATGAAGGAAAAAAAATGCAAGTTAGTGAGATACACCGACTCAAGTTGGTGTAGTGATGTTGAGGATAGAAAATCTACAACTGGCTATGTGTTTATGCTGAGTGGTGCACCAGTTGCTTGGATTTCGAGAAAGGAGCCAGTAGTGGCATTATCGTCGTGCGAATCAGAGTACATAACTGCTTCTCTCTGTGTATGTCAAGTAAAGTAGATGGTGAACCTGGTCGAAGAGATTACATCGAAGAGTCATTGAGAAATTACCATGAAGATCGACAACATGTCTGCTATCAATCTGGCGAAGAATCCGATAGCACAAGGATGAAGCAAGCTCATCGAAATGAGGTCCCACTATCTTCGTGAGCAGGTAGCCGAAGGCAAGACGAACTTGGAACACTGTAGAACTGAGAATCAAATTTCAGATATCATGACGAAGAAAGTGCGGGTAGAAGTGTTCATAAGACTAAGAGCTATGATGAATATAGATAACTTAGACCCAATGAATTAGGTGGTATGTTGAGAATGTAATTCTTTGTGTCGAAGTAGGTACTGCTCGACAGAAACAAGGATGTGTCAAAATTAGCCGTGTGTGTATGTGTGTCGAAATGTCAAAACAGGTTGCTCGACAAGATTTTGACTTATGCATATTTTAGTAGTGTTAGCTAAATTGGATATTTTGGACTTTTATGTTTTGTCAAATCCTAATTTTATTTCTTCTACATTTTTTCTTTCTTTTCACTGTTATTGTGTTTCGATAATAATCTTGTTCATCAAGATTGATAAAAATTCTCCATAGGTTGGACTTCCAACACTTTGGTGATCATTGGTTGAGAAATAGCAGCAACCTTAGGTTGTCGTTGTTGTTCTCTTGCCCTTGTACGACATTTAACTATCTTGGCTAGTTTCTCGCACATGATGTGCTGAGCTTTGGTAAAAGTGATGGAATCAGTGGCAGTGTGATCATCCATGAGAGCTGGTGGCTAAAAAACGTGCAAACAAGATCGCTCATTGGTGGGGAGAACAACGACAAACTACAAAATAAAGGTTGTTTGAAATGGAACACGTACATACTTTTGTAGATGGTAAATAAAAACTTAGTGTAAATTTAAAACCATGACAGAAAACCGAGCACGACATCGAAGGAATATTCTATGAAATATTCAATATACAAATATTAATATAATTGATTCTTAATGAGACAATTTTAAAATAATATATTTATTTTCAAATTATATTAAATAGAATTTGCTCTAAGTAATAATATTTTATTGTTTCTATATAAAATAAATGTATTGATAATTTTTTTAATATTCTTAGTAAATAATTATAATAATTTAAAAATAAAAATAAAACATAATTTTGATAATATGTAACAATAATAATTTATTTTATAAAAATGTTGTAAACCTATTATAGTATTTGAGAAAAATATGATTTTTAAAATATTTATTCTTTTATTAAATCAATTTTTACAACTTTTACTATCAATTTAGTGTTAAATTTTATTTTTGAAACTTCAAAATATATTTTTCAAATTTCTCCCTCATGACAATTAAAAAATAGTTATAATAAATTTTATTATATTAATTTATTTATAAAAAAAAACTAGAGTTTCATATCAAAACTCGATCTAACTTGATTAAATATGATCATGAAATCGTGATCTTTAATTAATTAAAAATTTGGGTCAATTCGAATCTAAAGATAATGTAATTTTAAAATAAAATAATTCAATAATATTACTTTATTTTTAAATATAATAAATATATTAGTAATTTGTTTAAATATATTTTATATACATTTAAAAATATCATAAATAAATTATATGTAAATTTGTTACAAAAGAAGAAAAAAATGACAGCATTTATATATTAATTTTAAAAAGAAATGTATCTGATTTGCATTGCATGGATTTTGTGAATGAAAAAGTAACATGCATGAATGAATTGAATCGGAAAGAGTATTAAAATAGAATTAGCCTTATTTAAAGAGTGTTTAAACTTTAACTGCTATAATTAGCAATGTGACAATATTATCCACTAAAAAAGGTCGCATTATCATGCATATGCAGTCTCCATTTTTGTAACTTCATTTTGATGTGAATCTAGAGAACGAGCGAAAAACGAGGCTACACGCTAGATTATTGCTTTAGATTATTGCTTTCTTTAGTTATTATTAACTTCTATTATATATATATATACACACACATTCATGATCGATGGAAGCTAAAGCAAAAAAGCAAAATGAAGTCCTCAAATATTCTCGTGATTTTCACCATTTTCTCCCTGCATTGTTTCATTTGTTTAGCGAGCAACTCCCCTCAGGACTTCCTAGACGCGCACAACAAGGCTCGTGCAGAGGTTGGTGTGGGTCCACTCGAGTGGAGCTCCGTCCTCGCAGAATATGCTCAGAACTATGCCAACACGAGAATCGAAAATTGCGTATTTGAGCACTCCGGCGGGCCTTATGGCGAGAATATATCCGCGGGTTCCGACCCGGAAATGAACGCTGCAGCTGCTGTGAAATTGTGGGTGGATGAGAAGACAAACTATAATCACGAAACAAACTCATGTCAAAACGGTGAATGCTTGCATTATACACAGGTTGTTTGGAATAATACTACTCATATTGGTTGTGGTAGGGTAAATTGTAAGAATGGATGGACGTTTATCATATGTAGCTATGACCCACCAGGAAATTATGTAGGTGATAAACCTTACTAGAGTTTCCATGTTTTCTTCAGTTTTATTTTATGTTATGTAATGTAATCTATAATGCTGCTAATCCTTGTTCTATGTATACCATCCTTTGTATCCTGGAAAACCAAAGGTGTGCATGCATTAGTTTGGGTTGAAATTAGTTAAAGTAGGACACAAGTCTTATATGATGCATCGTATTTGGGTGAGAGGTATCCTCCAAAAGTGGCCTAGGCTCATTAGTTTTTAGAAACCCTAATATATAATTGTAATACTTGTTACTGAATGAAGAATGAAAAAGTTCAAAGTTTGTTTAATGCTTTTCTTCTTTTGCAACTTAGATCAGTGATATTATGAGTAAGATTTATCATTACTGCTTTCATTTTTTGATTTCATGGCTCCTTTCAAACTCCCAAATCCTTCTTCTAGAGAAATCATAGAAGAAGCTGTGCAAACTGCTCATATTTATCTTGATAATGCTACAACCCAAACTCAACAACAAATGGATGAGAGATTTGATAAAACAAATGTAGTAAATTGATTTAACATATAAATGGATGAGAGATTTCTCTTATTCTCTTTTTTCAGTTACTGTTCATCTTCTTCATTCTTCATTCATTAGCATGTAAATTTCGCTTATTCTCTTTTTTTCAGTTATTGTTCATCTTTATCATTCTTCATCCATTAGCATATAAATTTCTCATATTCTTTAGATTGACTCTTGCTGTAACTTATTTATTTATTTCTGTTCTGCTTTTTTATTTGTAAATTGATTTTGAGGTGAGTAAAGGTTAACGTTTGGTAGTTTGAAGGAGAGCTTGAATGTTAAAAGGTTTTATAGGTATGTGATGAAGGTGTATGAAAATTTAAGGTATTTTTTGAATAAGGATTGAAAAATGAATGAATATAAGGGTACGAGGGTTTAAAAGTATGAATGATTTAGTTGAATTTATCAAAATTATGGTGAATAATAATTAATGAGGTAAAGAATTGGAAAAGATTATCAAAGCTGGATGAGGATTTTCATAAATGAGTGTGATGAAACGAGAGATGAAAAGAGAAAAAAAATGAAAAAAAAATGAAAAATGGTATCATATTTCAATAACAAGTTTTTATTAATTTTTTTTACCTTCATTTTTATAATTAATTTTTAATATTCTCTAATACTAATAGTAACTAATACTAATATTTTTAACTAAAAGAACAGATTTTTATTGATTTTTTCTTGAAATACAAATGACCCAAAATTAATTAGATCATATAAGTTTTTAGTTGTACCAAAAAGAGATAAATTTTTAGTGTTTTATATATTTTTAAACTTTTTTTAATTAATCACAATTTAAATATTTATAAATATTTAATTTTTTATATATCTTTGATATTTTTTAATAATAAACATTTATTTTTTATTTTGTCTATGCTTATACATTTAGTTTCTACATTGTTATCTAAGTTTTCAACTTTTTCTTTCTTTTAGTTTAAAATTTTTAAATTTAAATTTTTGAGTTGATATTATTATCTTGTCGAAATTAAATTATCATTTTTATTTGATTGATGCAAATTCAAAAATAAATAAATAGAAAAAGTGAACTATTGAATAAGGGAAAAAATATATGTCATTTTAATCCTGCACTTTTAGTCAAACACTTTAAAAACCTACGAATAAAAATTGTGTTTTTCTTAATTAGATAAGGGTGTATATACTATGATGTATGTCACTAATTGAAAGTTATACAATTAAATTAAATAAATGATGCATAAGATAATTGCCTTATTTATTAAAGAATGAAATAATAATTTATTTAATTTAAAAGGAGAAAAATACAATTATGGATTTAAATATTAAAAATTTATTGATCAATTTTTAAAAAGATGTAAAAAAGAAAATTGTGAGAGCTTATAATAAGAGAGTGAGTACATATGTTAAAATTGTATTCTCTATTATAAAATCATTGTCTTATTACTAAAAGATTAAAATAATGATTTATTTAATACAAAAATAATTTTTTTTAATTTTAATTTTAATACTCATTTGTATTTATTTAATTCATTCAACATGTTTTATTATTGTTCCGGATTGACCCAATGACAAAGCTTGATCCAATCCACGTCTGCTCGCAGAACGACCCAATAGCTTAAGCTTTGCCAATTAAGGGCAAAGGAAAGCATTTTTTCCTCTGCCCCTTTGCTGAGGAGGGCTGCCCGTCACATTTCTGCCTGTCACGCATGGTTCCACCATCCAGAAACAGTCACGGCGTCCATACCCGTGGCAACGCCTTTGTCCGCGACAACGATTAGATCCGAGGACCTCTGCCCGTCTCGACGGCTAGTTTCAGGCAGTTACCTATTCTTTGGGAGCGAATATCTCACCCCAAAAATAGAGACCAATGGCCAAGCGCTTGGGACATTATAAAAACCCTCTCATTCGAGAGGGTCGGGTATTTTAAATCATTTTAAATCACCCTAAAACATACTCTCTTTGTACTTGCCTTCTTTTCTCCCGATTCTTACTTTAGCATTGCAGTGCCTTACAGGTACACCCCCTCCTCATCTTTGAAACCCAACATCGCAGACGAAGTCTCTGACCCACTTCAATTTCTGATCACCTGTCAAGATCAGTGGCGCCGTATGTGGGAAACTTTGTTCTCCCCGTCTTTCTTTCCTTGTAAATTCAAGACCAAATCAGTTCTTTCAAGATTCCGATCATGACCAGCCATGAAAATGTCCATGATGCTTGTAATGTCATCCTCCCTGTCAGCAAGACAGATGTTGATGGAGCAACCCTTTTCTTGGAAGCGGCGTCCATCAGCAGAGAGATGGAGCCACCACATCTCCTTTCCCCGATCGCGTTGACAACGTTGGGGTCTAGCCCTTCGAAGACCATCACACCGTCCCAGTTCTGCCCAACGCTGAACCGGCCATGGCGGCCCTACTCGAGGCCCACAACAAGACAAACCTTGTAATTCTCCAGCAGAACGCAAGAATTGAAGCCTTAAAAAAGTCCCGCCGACCAAGATCTCCTCCGCCGAGGAAAGAGCGCTGGAGAACTCAGAGTCCTTCTCCCAGACGAGGAAGAGACCACCGAGCACTAGCAGAGCCAGACTCTTTGGCCGTACAAAAGTACGACCATACCTCTCCCTAGAGCCAGCACTCCCTAGAGGCCAAACGAACCAAAATGCATCTACGGACAGAGCGTCAGCGTTCGCCTCCGCCCAGATCCAAGGGCCGAGCCCAAACTTCATTTCACCGCAGAGATCACGGTCCTCTTCTCAGACGAAGTACCCATTCTCGTTTGCAGTCTAGCAGCAGCAGCGACAATGAGCCTCACGACCCGTTGTCCCAAGAAATTATGGTTATAAGCCTACCCAAAGGGCTGGAGAAACCCCCACCCTTGGGCACGTATGTAACACCCTATTTTATTTTAATTAATTGAATTATCGGATGTTGTATATACGTGTGTGATCATGCGTGTTTTGCTGTGTTTGGCGTATCCTTGGTGTGAGGTAGTAACTTTAGGATTAGACATTGAGAAAATGGTTGGGTGTGTGTGACTAGTTGAATAGAGATGGGTGGTGTGGTTAGTAACTAAGTAGTAGTATTAGTAAGTAATTATTTATTTGGATAATAATAGGTGATTATTATTTAAATTAGATAATTAGTATTATTACTATTACTTGTTATTATTTATTTGAGAAATAATAATAATAGTATTAGGATTATAATAAGAATGAAATAGATATTAAGTGAAAAGGAGATTGGGGGCATGTTGGTAATATTATGAGGAATGATGAGGACATAAAAGGCAAATCATAGAAAGGGTCCAAGGGTTAAACAAGTAAATGAGGGAAGTAGAGTTCATTATGTACGATCGTAATTTTTGAGAAAAATGAAAGAAAGGCTAGAGTTAAAGAGGAAGAAGAATCCACAATTTGTGAAGGTTTACAAAGCTCAATCTTGAGATAAGGATGAGGTTCTGATTCTATAAGGGTTAACATGTTGAACGGTGGGTAGAAGTTAGGTTTTGTCTTATGGGTGAAATGTTATTCTATGTGGTGACTACTATAAATATTTGATCAATGATGAAATTTTTATTTGATTGTGTGATAAATGATGTTTTCTAAGTGGTATGTGATGAGTTCTATACATATATGTGTGTAGAAATTTTGTTTTGAAAATTGTTGAAAATATCTTCATTGTTGAGTTTTGGAGTTTTGAGTCGGAAAAATGAAATTATGATGAATTGTTGTTAATTCATGAGTAAAACAATGCATGATAGAGGTTTAGGATGTTATTTTAGTAAAGAGGTTAGTGGTATAGGCTTTGGTGTGAAATTCTAGGACGAAAATGCTTTTAAAAAAAGTGATTATTGGGGTTTAGAACAGTATGAGTCGACTCATAGCCACCCGAATGTAAAATTATGGAAATTTTAACAGTATGCGTTGACTCATAGCTCTGTGCGCCGACTCATAGCTCTATGCGTCAACTTTTGGATCGACTCATAAGCAGAAAAACGCCAGAAACAGTTTCGTTCATAACTTATTAATCGTTAATCCAACTGACAAACCTTTCGAAGTGTTGGAAAGCTAATGAGCCGAACTTAAACATGGTATAATTATATGAATCATTTTAATAATTTTTTTATGTATAATATCTTGAAGAATGTGATTGTTGCTTGTTGTGTACCTTAAGAAGTCGTGGTGTAAGTGACGAACCTTGAGTGTTGTTGTAAAGATGTTTAATGATGTTATTGTGATGTTAATGATAATAATATGAAGATGCTTTGATGATGTTGTTGTGATTTTTTGATGATGTTGTTGTGATGTTTGATGATGTTGTTGTGATGTTAATGATGGTAATATGAAGATGCTTTAATGATGTCGTTGGTGTAATATGAGCATGTTTAATAATATTGTTGTGAATGCAAATAAATACATGTATATGTCCATATTATTTGAAATATAATTTGATACTTATTGGCCAAATTGGGCAGTGTACAATAACCATGATGGTGGGTTACTGTGCACGAT